CTAAGCTTGTGAATCCTGGGTGAATATTTTAGTTCAACTTCAATCTAATTCCCCCGCCCCCCCCCCCATAATCTTTGCTAGTTAGACAGGTATTTGAGCACTCAGACATGTCACACTATTTTTTTCTATTCCTTATTATGACTATCTAAATTAGATGAGTATTATTATTGTCTGGGTCCTCAGCGCTGTCTCTTAACTGTTTGGTTGCAGCAACTCCATAGCACTAGGATTAGGAGTATTAGGAATGGTAGCACTTAGACCTTGGTTGCTCACAGAAAGATAAGTAAGGTCGGGCCTGTTTATTACTTGGATGGGAGACTATCTGGAAGTCTCAGAGTTGTAGGCTAAACTGGGGAATTTAAAAAAAAGTTCCAGGAAGAGGCAGTGTTAAACTATTTCTGTATTCTTGCAAATAAATATACATGGAAATGTCAAATAAATCATCAAAGTTCAACTAGTGGGAAACTTTACTTTTTTCAATGAACTTTATTCAGTACATTCTGCTGAAACTTTCTGATTTATTCAGTGGAGCATAGTCAGATAATGTATTGGACAATCAGAAACCAAATTGCTTTATTCTGAGGGAAGGTGTTTTAGTGTATTACTGGTCCTTGGGGTGGAAAAAAAGAATGCTAGCATTTTTTTTCTTTTCTATTTAACCATTGCTTAAATTAGTTACATGATTTTGTACTTCCATCTCAGAAAATAGTTGTGAGGTCTGTGCACACATAGTAAATATGATATATTAATTTGGCTGAAAGGCAAGTAATCATCTCTGGACGGGATGACTGTTCCACACTAATAAGGCAGTCTGCAAGTCTATGGGGAGAATAAGATACTTTGAGAGCCCATGTAAATATTACTGCTAATAGTGATAAATGACATGTGTCAGGTCTTTAACACTACAGTTCCTGACCGAAAGGAATCGGTAAAATAGATGTCAGTGGTCATGGAAATAATCCTTATCAGTTCAGTTATATTGGCCAAAGACTTCCACAGAGTATTTCTCAGGAGACAAACTTCTCATTTTTTTTCTCCATGTGATTTTTTTTTCTTTTTCTTTGTCTCTGTGGTACTGCTAGACAGTGAATTTCAGGTGTCATGTTACCCTTCCAGCAGAACAGAGATGCTGTGTCATCCAGTGCTAGAGCCATAAGCCTGTTAATTATGGCAGCTTCTCACCTAAGCAAGAAGTATAGGGCTATTCTCTTCTGTACAATGTGGACTGAAACTGGCTTAGCCATAGGTCTTTGCAACTGCCTGGCAGCATATGAATCTCAGAGCATGCTGTTAATTGTACAGCTGATTCACTTAGTGATACACACTGGGACACATACCTAATTGTCTGGTAGCCATGGTAGAAAGGCTTATCAATAGAACAAGAAGAATTTGACCAAACATATGTGGATACTATTTGCTGACAAAGATCTCACTTCACTGCATGCACTTGGTGCCTCCAGATATGTTTGGCAACAGTTCCCCTCATCCCCTGTAAGCATGGTTAAGAACTGGCAGAAGATCACAGAACTTCTTAAAATTGAAGATAAGAAGTGCCATTTGTATTAGGAAACTTTTTTCAACATGTGCCAACATTTTATTTAATCATACACGTATATATTACAATGTACATTTACAATGCAGAAATATGTCTATTTTTAAAATAAATCCCAGAAATTTGATGCTGCAATATAGCAAGAACGGGCAACCCACAACTCATCAGTTTGTGATTCCTAGAGAATCCTCTGACAGTTTGCACTGTTGAAATTCATTGGTACAGTATTTTACAAATTGTTTTACTAAAGTTTAGCCCCATCGTAATGACATCATGATGTCATTAGGCATACCCCTACAGCTTATGGAGGCCTTAAAATAAATTAATTTTATAAATTAGGGCTGGGCCAAAAACAATTGCCAACTTGCTGTACATGAAGAGTTTTCTTCCCAGCTTCAGTTATTTCAATTAATGTTTAAAATCAACTCTTATTTGTTTTGTTGATTTTCCCACTAAAAATCTTATTTTAGCTGTTACGATTTCACAGTGTGTTTTTCAGGAAGTTTTAGGCACCTGGGCTAAACTATTCAGAATTCTGTTTTATCCTATACAAAAAAGATGGTATAAAGCCATCTGCTAAACACCAGGATGACTCATAAACTGGGATGGGGAGGAGAATCAATCAAGGAAGAGGTGGGTATGTCTCCAACAAGACTTGAGAATAATCTCCATTCTTTTGTATTCTGTTCAGTGACACTACCAGAAAGAGGCGGAGGGGGAGACTTAATAACATTTATTCTCCCCCAGCTCTTCCTTCTCCATGCCTTTTTTTTTTAAAGGAAATCTAAGTTCTACTACAGAATAAACCTGTGGTTGCACCAGTATCTTGGTTTCTCGAGAGGAAGGAGAGGGGAGTGCAACAACTTCCTTTGTTGTTAAAAATTGAGCAAAGACACCTGTGAGAGACTGCTGCGGGGTCTGGATCTGTTTGTAGTGGTTCATTTTGAGCAGCACCTCTGTTCCTGCTGTGATGGGGATAAAGATCACCAACTTGCAGATGGGGGGGGAGGTTAGTAAATTTTTCTTTCTAGAACCAAAACAAAATCACATGATTCATGGAGAAGACCAGAATGCTTGTATTTATATTTTGAAAAGGGGACAGCACTTCTTCATATGTCCCTCCTCTCGAACTGATATAGCCTGAAGGGTTTGCCACCTCTCACAAAGCTGAAACTCACAACTAAATGTAACTGGATTAGGACAATAAGACAGTATGTACATATTACAGTATCGGTGTTTGCACTTGACAAATACTTATTGTAATTTGGTTAGGGTGGCCATTATTTTATTTTAGAGATTAAGACTAATTAAGAACGTTGTCTTTCCCAGAACCATTTGCCCTGCACTCTTGTTTATATTTTTCAGAAGAGGCTCCATAATGTTCAATAGGACTACAAGTAGTCCTTGTTTACTGACCACAGTTGGGACTGGCAACTCAGTCATTAAGTAACTATGACTATGCTTATGACCTTACTTCAGCTTTCCTTTCTTTACAGACCAGTGAAAGTCCTAAATACAAGGATTGGTCATAAAGTTACTTTTTCATCACTGTCGTAACTGCAAACGGTCGCTAAATGAGGACAACCTATAACTCCCTGATAAGAGTTATGCTCAGGGTAACAATTTATCAGTACTCATTGTTTCTAGGTTACACCAACTTTCCATTAAGACACGTGCATTCATTATCCTGGTCTGCACAAGGCCCTTAGCAGCCTGCGGATGCCCATGCTAATGCTGCTGTTTCCTGAATTCTCCTCCCCATATTGCCTTGCCAGATGTTTTGCTGGGGAAGATAGCACCTTCTTCCTCAGCACAATCCTTCTGCTGACTGAGTTTAAAAAACATTTGGAGGGACTGCTGAGAGCATGACTGGGCTTGGAAAGAGGGCACGTCGATAGAATCGATCCCACGTAATCTCTTCCTCCATACAGAGTTGTTAGGATTATTGCAAGGGATGGGACAAAATTAGCCACTACTACCACCTCCCTTGCAATCCCACTGAAGTAATTGCCTCCTTCAACAACCTTGAAGATTGCTATTTTCCCACTACTATTGATCCTGGGAAAAGGCAACTTAGAGCTTCTTTCTACTCACAAGCCTCTTTCCCAGCAATCTGTGCCAGGAAAATGGTTCTCTCTGTGTGTGAAACAGTATGTGTGAATGGATGGGTGTGTCCTGCTTGACACACTAAACCTATTGAAGTATGTAGCACCTAAGAGTTCAGCAGGGGCCAATATGATGCCCCCTTAAAGAAAAATGTTCTACTCCTTAATTAAGGGCTCACTGTTGTGCTACCAGGTTTTGAATGCAGTATGATAATATTCCAAAAAGGGTTTTAAGATGGTTAATGAATGGCAGGTTATACCATTCAGCACTAGCTGTACATTAATTTATTTTAGATTTGGATCATTTTACCTTTTTGACAGTGAAAAACTAAAAAATTAACACATAAAAATGATTAAATGCTGATTAGGGTTTTTAACTCCACCCTTCAGAAGCTGTCACTGAAAGACATTTAGGCTGCACGTGCTGTCAGCATACTGATGCTTTTTGGTGGTCTTATTCTGAATATCTTTCCTCCACTGAGTTTCCTGCATATTTCAGCATTAAACAGCCTTCTTAATCAGGCAGATTTCTGTCATGACAATCACACTAAGAACTTGCGTGGCTATTTTTACATCATATATCTTTCTCCTGTGTGGGCATAGTGCTCTCTGATGTTTCAAAATTGCAACTACTGAATAGAGCCTTTAAAAGGCTATTGCTCACCACAACTAGTGATGAGTGTTGTTGTTTTTTACTTTGGTATCATTGCCTTCCATTTGTTAGCATTAGCAACTTCATCACATTTAATGTTTTCCTTTATCTGGGACCCTCTAGGCATTGGAACTGCAACTCCCAACAATCCTAGCCAGTGCAACCATCAGCCATGCCCTGCGAATTCTGGGAGTTGCAGTCCTAACATATTAGAGGTCACAGGATCAGAGAAGATCAACCTATGCTTATGCATATGCCAAATAATCTTTCTTGTGCAAAATGAGTATTTTAAAATGCACAAACATTTCCTAATGTCCTAGCTTTTGGCATACATTATGGGCCAGAAAATCAGAAACTAGCAGCTTGACTGATGGACATGGAAACTTTGTTGGAGTTGCAGCTCAGGTCCTTCCCAACTCAAGTCCTAGTTTTGCAGAAGAAGGGGGGGGGGG